GCCGACCCGCAGTAGGGGCCCAAAGCCCCCAAGGGCACGTGTCGATGGCCAAGCCACCGTGGCGGAAGAGTCGCGGTGGCCGCCTTGAAATACAATTCTGATCGGACGGCGAGTAGAATCCTTTGCAGACGACTTAAATACGCGACGGGGTATTGTAAGCGGTAGAGTGGCCTTGCTGCCACGATCCTCTGAGATTCAGCCCTTTGTCGCTCCGATTCGTCCCCCCATCCCCTTCCACGACAAACTACCCCCGCGGCACCCAGAGCGTCCTGAGGTTCATCGGTTTATGGATGAGGGAATGGGGAAGGGAGGGAAAAAAAATAAAGGAAAAAGAAAATGAAAAGTAATCTTATACCTTTTCGGGCCAAAATGTTGCTACTCTGAGATTCAGGGTGTTTGTTTGTTTAACTACTATAAGGGGGGCAGTGGTCCTGAAGGATATGCCGCGGCATAGAAGCCGGCCCACGTGACCGGGTGGTAAAAACGTACGAGGTCGGGTTTTCGGCGCGGTTGGTGGGCCGTGCCGCGTGGACGGGTCGGTCAAGCGGTCGCCGGTCGGGTTTCGGCGCGGGTGGTGGGGCGTGCCACGTGGACGGGTCGGTCAAGCGGTCGCCGGTCGGGTCTCGGTACGGGCCGTGCCACGTGGACGGGTCGGACAAGCGGTCGCCGGTCGGGTCGGCAAAAGCGATTTTCTTGATTTATATAAATATTTATTTATATAAATATATATATATATATATATATATATATATATATATATATATATATATATATATATATATATATATATATCAAGAAAAGGAAAAGGAAAAGGAAAAGGATAAAGGATTAAGGATAAAGGATTAAGGATCATAAGGATCATACGGATCATACGGTTCATACGGTTCATACGGATCATACGGATCATACGGATCATACGGATCATACGGATCATACGGTTCCTACGGTTCCTACGGTTCCTACGGATCCTACGGATCCTACGGATCCTACGGTTCCTACGGTTCCTACGGTTCATACGGTTCATACGGATCCTACGGATCATACGGTTCATACGCTCCTCGGGTTCGTGGGCCCTGCCGCGTTAATGGGTCGGTAAAAGCGGTTTTCCCGATCAATTGTTCATATTAATATTCATTGATGAATCGTGAGTTATTTTATTCATTATCTCCAATTAATTTATTACTTAATAAGTTTTAATAACGATTAATTAAAATATTTAGAATTATATTTATTTATACTACGTGTATATAAATAATTACTTACTTATTTGTACGTGTATATAAACAAAATAAACGAACCCTTGCATATCAAGAAAACGAAATAACGAGAAAAGTTTAAAGAAAACGATAAATGTTTAATCAAGGATAAAAGATTAAGGATAATAAGGATTAATGAAAACATTAAAGAGAGAAAAATTTCCATAGATCACTATCATATGTGTGTTAATATGATTTTATGATTTTTTATTGAAGTATCATGCCTTTAAAATGAGGTTTAATAATTAATAAGCATTAATTTTTTAATTAGAGTTAAGTTTAATAATTAAATATATTAATTTTTTACATTGAAATTAAGTTTAGTAATTAAGTAAATATTAATATATTAAATTCATTAATTTTTTAATTAAGTTTATGTTTAATCATTAATTAAATATTAATTAATTGATTTTTTAATTAAATTTAAGATTTATAATTAATTAAATATTAATTAATTAATTTTATTACTTTTTTAATTAAGTTTAAGTTTAATCCTCATTTACATATTGATTTTTCAATGTTTTGTGTACAATTAGGCATTTTTCAGCAAAAAATAAAGGAAAAAGAAATTGAAATAAAAATTTATACCTTTTCGGGCCAAAATGTCGCTACTCCGAGATTCAGTGTATATGTTTTTTTATCTACTATAGGGGGGGAGTGCTCCTCGACGGGTGGGCACGGGCAGAGTTGCGCCGCGGCATGGGGCGCTTCTCAGCGTGGGTTCCGCGTGGGTTCCCATGCCACGGAGTTGGATATTTTCGCCGCGTGGGTTTCGGTGGGTTGGTTATCCTCTCCTTCGGTTCGGTTGGTTGGAATGCCGCGGTTTCCAGGTTGGGTGGGCACGAGTAGTTGCCCCGCGGCATAGGGCACTACTCAATGTGGGTTTCGGTTTTCGGCCGTGGTTCTCCGGTCCACGGCGTTGGTCTTTCTGCTGCATGGGTTTCGGCATGGTCGCCGTTTGCGCTAGCCGGTTTCGGTTGTTTGCAATGGCGTGGCATGAGTAGTAGCGCTACTCAATGTGGGTTTCGGTTTCCTTGCGTGGCCCTCCGGTCCACGGCGTTGGTCTCTCCGTCGCTTGGGTTTCGGTAAGGTCGCCGTTTGAACTAGTCGGTTTCGGCCGGTTGCAATGGCGTGGCATGAGTAGTTGTACTGCTCGATGTGGGTTTCGGTTTTCGGCTGTGGTTCTCCGGTCCACGGCGTTGGTCTTTCCGCTGCTTGGGTTTCGGTATGGTCGCCTCTTGCACTAGTCGGTTTCGGTTGGTTGCAATGGCGCGGCATGAGTAGTTGCACTACTCGATGTGGGTTTCGGTTTCTTTGCGTGGCTCTCCGGTCCACGGCGTTGGTCTCTCCGTTGCTTGGGTTTCGGTAAGGTCGCCATTTGCACTAGTCGGTTTCGGTCGGTTGCAATGGCGTGGCACGAGCAGTTGTACTGCTCTATGTGGGTTTCGGTTTTCGGTCGTGGTTCTCCGGTCCACGGCGTTGGTCCCTTCCGCTGCTTGGGTTTCGGTATGGTCGCCTTTTGCACTAGTCGGTTTCGGTCGGTTGCAATGGCGTGGCATGAGTAGTTGCACTACTCGATGTGGGTTTCGGTTTCTTTGCGTGGCTCTCCGGTCCACGGCGTTGGTCTCTCCGTTGCTTGGGTTTCGGTAAGGTCGCCATTTGCACTAGTCGGTTTCGGTCGGTTGCAATGGCGTGGCACGAGCAGTTGTACTGCTCTATGTGGGTTTCGGTTTTCGGTCGTGGTTCTCCGGTCCACGGCGTTGGTCTTTCGCTGCCCGGGTTTCAGCATGGTCGCCGTATGCACTAGTCGGTTTCGGTCGGTTGCAACGGCGTGGCACGAGTAGTTGCTTTACTCTATGTGGTTTCGGTCTCCTCTCGTTGGCGATGCGACTAGTGGGTTTATTTCGGTCTTTTCCCTTTCGCACTTATTGATGCGAGTGTCATGGCGTTCAACTTGCGGTGGTGGACTATATGCTTGGAGCGATTCCAACCGTGTGGTCTGTTGGTGTAAGTTGTGTTGCACTTGATGTTTGCGATGCAAGACGGTGCGTGAGTTGTCTCCGGCATTTGTGGTTAAGATGGATCATTGCCGTAGCAATGACGTCTTGCCGCCTTGCCTTCTCAGTGTCGATTGCCTCGGTGCTGCTGGGGCCGATTTTCCATGGTTTCCGGTGTCGAATACCGCTGCGGGTGGCATTTTGCATGTTAACTCTCGATTTCCGTCCTGTGCTCGTCCTCGTTTGTATGCGAGGGTGTGCGTGGGATGGACGCCAAACGCCTACTTGTGCTCGGTGCAACCCTTGGTTGCGATCTGGGCATACGAGTAGTTGTGCATGGCTCTTGGATTTGGTATAAGCACGGGGCATTGGAATTCATCTTCTTCTTTCCCCGTGTGCCAATGTGGCACGCTAGTCCTACGCATGACTGCTTTGTTGCATTGAGTGTTCTTTCGTCGCTCGTGCTCGGGGCATCATTTAGGAATGTTACCTGGTTGATCCTGCCAGTAGTCATATGCTTGTCTCAAAGATTAAGCCATGCATGTGTAAGTATGAACTAATTTAGACTGTGAAACTGCGAATGGCTCATTAAATCAGTTATAGTTTGTTTGATGGTACCTACTACTCGGATAACCGTAGTAATTCTAGAGCTAATACGTGCAACAAACCCCGACTTCTGGAAGGGATGCATTTATTAGATAAAAGGTCGACGCGGGCTCTTGCCCGTTGCTGCGATGATTCATGATAACTTGACGGATCGCATGGCCATAGTGCCGGCGACGCATCATTCAAATTTCTGCCCTATCAACTTTCGATGGTAGGATAGTGGCCTACTGTTAGACCCCTTTTTGGCGGGTCTTTATCGAGACATGGTTTGGGCTCGATAGGGTGGCTTTTCGGGGCATGGGATGCGGCCAAAGTCATCATGGCAATGGCCAAGGCATAGTTATGCCGCGGCATTGCAACATTGCGAAGAACGGGCAAGGTGGAAGTTTGGCTAAGGCATGGGGACTTAGTCAAGACAAGGCAAGCTAGACCAAGTATGAGGGCAGAACGGTTGGCGTTGCGAGAAACCATGTTCGGTTCATGGGCGGCATGACATGGTCAAGGGAGACTATGGGTGTGCGGGTCCGGCATGTGGTCCAAGTGTTGGTGAAGGTCAGTGGCATGCGGGGCATGGCTTACGGGATGCGGAACAACAGCTTGGAGGCACAACAAAAGCAAGTGGCTCAAAGTGGCACGTGGGCGACTCAAGGGTAGTGCGTGGTGTGTGGCCAGGCTTGAGCCCGGGGCGTGGCTGTCCTTGGGCAGTCACGACATTTGGGAGCTTCGGTGGCAACGAGGGTTGGTTGGCCGGTTGACAAGTGGGACTTGGGCAAGCTGGGCGCAAGGCAACGAGAGTTGGTCACAAGCTCAAAGCAAAGAGTTGGCTCGTGGGTGGCCTGGGTTAGGCCGCGGCATGAGTGCAAGCTCGAAGAGGCGTGTCGGTTCGGTGCGGCATGACTCAAGTCTGGAAGGGCAGGGCGGTTACTCGCGAACAGGTGCCTTGAGGCGAACCGGTGGCAAGGCAGTTAAGGGCTTCGGGCGGACAAGTGCTTGGGCAGACCGGAAGGCCGCGGCATAGGGCGGTTGGTAACTGCCACACGCGAAGAGACGCGTCCCTTCAGGCTAGGCAGTTGGCTTGTAACTGCCAGACGTGGCTCGTCTATAAATATGCCGCGGCATAACTGCGAGTTTTGTAGTCTTAGCGAGAGACAGCAGTGTGGCCGAGTGTTTGCAAGTGTGTTAGACATTGTGAGCGTGTTGTATTAGTCCTAGTGTATTAATTGTGAATTAATACAAGGTTGGTCGTTGACCGTAAAGTCGTGTGCCTTTATTCTAAGTGTGCGTTAAAGTGTTGTGTTCCTATTCCAATTAAGGGTTGCGCCGCGGCATTGGGTGGAAGGCTGACTGTCTTAAGGCGTTAAGGCAGGCCGTACAGGGTGAAAATTCGAGACGTGAATTTTACCGTGTAACAATTGGTATCAGAGCTGATGGCTGAAGATCGTGATTCGTCTGCCGGTGACCAAGGGGTGGAGACTGCGGAGGTACTGGTTCGTGGGCTGATTGAGGAAGCGCTTAGGCCGGTGTGGGCGCGGCTTAAGGCACTTGAGGCCTCAAGGGCAGACCTGGTAAACGAACTGGAGGCACGCTCTGCCGAGAACGAAGCCACAAAGTCAGAACTTGTGATTTTGAAGAGGGCTCTTGCAGCGGGACTGGTTCCAAGCGCTGAAGTAGGCTCTTCAAAGATCAAAGTGCCGGAGCCGAAGACCTTTGGTGGTGACCGCAATGCCAAGGAGTTGGAGAACTTTCTGTGGGATATGGAAGAATACTTTAAAGCCGCAAAGGTGCCGGACGAAGAGAAGGTGAGGATTGCACCCATGTACTTGTCTGGTGATGCAAAGCTTTGGTGGCGGAGTAGAGTAAGGGACGACGCTAATACGGGAAGACACGGGCTGGAGTCATGGGATGGACTCAAGAAGGAGTTGAAGGCTCAATTCCTTCCCCACAATGTCTCTTGGATGGGCAGGGAGGCCCTGAAGAACTTGAAACACACCACATCGGTGAGGGATTATGTCAAGGCGTTCTCTTCGCTCATGTTGGACATTGAGAACATGACGGAGGAGGACAGGCTATTCAATTTCGTGTCTGGACTGCAGCCATGGGCCCAGACAGAATTGAGGAGGCAGGCTGTGAAGGATTTGCCGAGTGCCATGGCAGCGGCCGAAGGACTCATGGATTACTCATTGTCTGATGGTTCTAAGGGGAACAAGGGCAAGGGAGAACCAGGCATTTCCGGTTCAAGGGGGACGTTGAAGTGTGACGACATCAGTGCGGCAACGGAAGCGAGTGTGACAAAACCAAAGTCCAAAGCTTGCTGGGGGTGTGGCGGTCAGCACTTGCAGCGGAACTGTCCCGAGAACCAAAAGTTGGCTGCCTTGAAGCAAGTGGAGTCCGAGGAGGATTCTGCGTTGGTGACAGTGAATCCCTTGCGTTTGGTCTGATGGCACCGTGAAAGTCATCAGGGGCACTGTGCGTGTGGACAGTGCGAGTGCCAAGAGGGGCGTGGACTTGGCATAGGTTGCAGGCGTGGGACGTCGGGCAACTGCAGCGGCATTGCTTGGGTATGGCAGTGCAAAGAACCGAAGGTCGTGGGGACGCTAAGGTTCAGTGGCATGCTTTTCAGAAGATGTCACAATGATGGGTCAAGCGTACACAGGGGCTGTGCGGGTTGGACATCATATTTTGGAGAAGCACACAAGGGAGTGGGGCGTTCACCAAAATTGTTGGCCGTGGGTCAACATGTTGCTAGTTGGATGGGAGGATCCTTTGGCAGCGGAGCGG